ATTTAATTTAATATACCTTCTATTTTAATAAAAAAAACATAATTCTTCATTACTTGAAAATAAAAAAAAAACAGTACATTGTGTTACCAAAAAAAACCACATACATGACATTTAAATAATCCTAGAAACTTAAAAAACATAAATAAAATAACTAAAGGAAACTACATAAAGTCGTTCTATGTTTGTATGTTTGTTCCGCCATTTGAACACACGCAATAACGGTATCAAAAATAATCTGAAATTCTTCAGAAGATAAAGAAGATGATATTTTTTGGAAAGTGGTAATTGAAAAAAAAAATTGAGAGAGAGAAAATTGTGTTGTGAAAAAAAAAATTAAGTTTGATATGTGTATATATATAGGAAGGAAAGAAAAAACAAAAGGAAAAAAAAAACAAACGAAATTGCATTTAACGGTCAAAAAATTGACCAACCAATCACATTCCGCGGTCTTCAAAGACCGCACTGCGGTCTCAATGGCAGGAAACCGCACCCTGGGGGCGGTGTTCCCTGCTGAGGTGGCACCAAGGTGCGGTCTCAAACTGCATCACACCGTGCAGCCTAAGGGTACTTCATTTTATAAAGCATAAATCAAAACATATGAAAAAAGAAACGAATGTAGTTCACACCATATGATATATGTTGATCAGGAGTTAGGCTAAGGTATGACAAGGTGAATCATTTGGCCATTTGAATTTAAAATTTTTATATACAAGTTATATAATAAAAATATTTAGGATCTACTTTAAATATTTTAAAGGACCATCTTAATATGTTTGACAAAAAAAAAAAAAAAAAAAAATACATACACTATAAACAACATAAGACATAATATTTTATGGCATGAAAGAGTTCCACATCAACTAAAAAAGAAACGGTGGGTGGTTTTTTATTATAAATAGATATTTCCTTTTATACATTTCACTACCTTAAGGCTTAAGCTAGCTAGGGTCTAGTTTAAACTTTAGGCCGACTTATTCCAAATATAAGCTGACTCTAGTTTAAAAAAATTAAAGAAGTTCCGATTTAGGCTTGGTCAGCACCATTTTTGCACATGTTGAGGGTTTTTTTTTATTTTTTTTTTTTTTTTATTTTTTTTTAATTTTAATTTAAATAATTTAGAAATCAACCTATCCTTGTTGACTAGTCTTAACTTGCATATTATACCGTAAAACTTTTGCTTCGCTTGCTATTTTGATACTATAGGTATAAACCTTGTAATACCTAGATGCCCATGAAAAATTAACGAGTAAACAACTTTGATATTACTTGCTAAACAACACTTTTATTGCTTGAAAAACTTCATTTCATTACTATACCAAAAAAGTATCCTATTTAAATTCTAAAACCATACAGGAGATAAAAACTTAAATACAGTAAATTTCCTAAAATGTCATTTGTTTAAACTAAACAAAGCCAACTCCTAGAAAAAGAAAACCGATTATTCCAACAGTCACCTTCCCCAATGACGTAAGCAATCCATTTTTGAAGACATCTGTTCTTTCAATGTGGAAGAGATTATTATATTTTTCATTATGTAAAGTGTCGGTAGAAGGATTGTTATGTAATTAAATAAGAAATGTTGGTAGGATAATTATTAAGGGTCGGTTGATGTAACATAAAGTATGTAACCCTTAATAGTCTAGGGGGCTATAATATAAATATGTGTGTCGTTTTGCAATCAAACGATTGCAAACCAATTATGTAACCGACTCCTTCGAGCCTGTAAATAGGGTCTTCGCCCATATGAAATAAACAAGTTAAGTTTGAGTGTTTAAGACTTGAGTTGATCTCAAAGTTCTTCTCTGTTGAAATAGTTTGTCTATTTCTGAATAGCAGAGCTCTATCCAAACTATCCACATAAATATTCAATTATCCAACACAATCCATCATCAAGATAATCCAACGCATTATTCAGAGCTCTATCAAAACTATCCACATAAATATTCAATTATCCAACACAATCCATCATCAAGATAATCCAACGCATTATTCAGAGCTCTATCCAAACTATCCACATAAATATTCAATTATCCAACACAATCCATCATCAAGATAATCCAACGCATTATTCAGGTATAATCTTACTCTAATCTTCATTTATCCGTCATGTTGTTCAATTTGGTATCAAAGCAATTAAGGATTATTATATTTTTCATTATGTAAAGTGTCGGTAGAAGGATTGTTATGTAATTAAATAAGAAGTATCGGTAGGATAATTATTAAGTGTCGGTTGATGTAACATAAAGTGTGTAACCCTCAATAGTCTAGGGGGTTATAATGTAAATATGTGTGTCGTTTTGCAATCAAACGATTGCAAACCAATTATGTAACCGGCTCCTTCGAGCCTATAAATAGGGCCTTCGCCCATATGAAATAAACAAGTTATGTTTGAGTGTTTAAGACTTGAGTTGATCTCAAAGTTCTTCTCTGTTGAAATAGTTTGTCTATTTCTGAATAGCAGAGCTCTATCCAAACTATCCACATAAATATTCAATTATCCAACACAATCCATCATCAAGATAATCCAATGCATTATTCAGGTATAATCCTACTCTAATCTTCATTTATCCATCATGTTGTTCAATTTGGTATCAAAGCAATTAATCCGTCATCATGTTATTTTAAATTTGGTATCAGAGCTAAGTATCGTTCTTATTATGATTATGAATGTTAAATCTTTCGTTCATATAAATACATGTTCATCATGCATCATCATCATCATCATATATATATATATATATATATATATATATATATATATATATATATATATTCATTGTTACAAACATTCATCGTTATAACTTATTATTATAAACTCATTATTAAATCAAATACCATCCACCTACAAATGCCGGTAGAAGGTTTTTACAATTATGAGTATTTACCAATTAGAAACACATTTTGTTAAAAAAACCCCACCATCAACATCCTATTAAAATATAATAGTATTAAAAAACCCCACCATTAATATCTTATTAAAATTTATAAATTGTAATTTTGAAAGAAAAAATAAATTATCATTATGTTTCTAAAAACTATAATTATGAGTTTTTCAAGTCTAAACACAAATATACAAGAATTAAATTTTTTTCGTAAAACATTAAAACAGTCTGAAAAATTTCTTCTAAATTTAAAAACAGATTCTAACATATCAATAATAAATTGTATATCTAATATTGAAGCAATACATATAATAAATAATAGTATAAATTGGAAACGAGAACAAATGAAAAACCTTGAAGATAAGATAGCAAAATTAATATGTTAAATAAGTTTCAAAAAATAGAAAAAACGCTAATAATAACTAATTCACTAGAAAAAAGAAACTAAAAATTCTATTTAATGGAAACTTTACAAGAAAAAGTAGAAACACTAACTAAATTATTTGCAGTATTAGAAATTCCGTCTGAAACTCAAGAAAATAATATAATAGAAAATAATTCAGATAATGATGACGCAGAAGTAATATATGATTTTTCTTCAGATGATGAAAACTCTTATCAAATCCATATAGAGATTCACAACACAATTTTGGATTAAAACGAAAACAATCATATGTCGAAGATGATTATCAAAGTCAATATATTTATGGACCACCTTCGTTAGAGGAAATTTTTTTATATAGACAAGGAATGGTCAAAAATAAACAAAACAAATGGGAAAAAATACCTCCACAATATATACCTAAACTATTTTTTTTCCAACAAATTCAGATATTCTTTTTATCGATTGTGAGCAAAATCCCGAAGCAAAAATTCAAGAATGGAGTAATAAAATGGGAATTCAAATTCAACTAACTGAAGAATTAAGAAACCTACATCCAAAAAATTTTCTTAATTATATTATACATAAAACACATGGCAATGCATATCGTTTCCTTTTATCTCTCGATGAAACTGAGACGATGATGATAGCGACCACTGACGCTATGGAAACATTTAAAAATGTATTAAATCGACTTATTCAATAATTCATAGGAAAACAAATAGAAGATAAAACATCTCAAGAAGCTTTTCAATTAGAATCATTATGGCATCTAACTAACTTACGAATTTGTAACATGTGTTATTTAGACCCATTTATATGCGAATATTCTAAACATTATTATAATCTAGATTTTACAAGAAAAAAGATAGCATTAGACATGTTTTACCAAAAATTACCATCATTAGTAAGTCAAAGTGTAATAAAATATTTCCAAGAAGCATTACAACAAAATAAAATTGCAGATACCTTAGGAGCAAGAATAAGTATATTAAAAGCATGGATGCAGAAAAAATGTTTAGAACAAAAAACAACACAGGATGCAAGAATTGATTTATGTTGTGATACCTTATCTAATAAAGTTAATCAATATGGTTGTAAAGATAATAAAAAACAGAAATATAAAAAGAAAATTTGGAAAAAACAAACTTATAAACCTAAATATAAACAATGTTATAAACAAGGTGAAAGAAAAAAAAATTTCGAAACAGAAAACAATATAAGAAAAAATATCAATCTAACACAAATTACTGTCCATCTAATAAAAAAGACTGTAAATGTTGGATATGTCAAGAAGACGGACACAAAGCCTATGAATGTCCAAAAAAGACTACAAAAGAGAAAGAAACAAACTTATTAAAAATTGCATATGATCTCGGGTATGAACCTATAGAAGACTCATGAATTGATTCAGATATAGACATTTATGCATATACAACTGATACTGATTCTGATTCAGGTAAATAGTCCTATGAAGAAAGCATTATTGGATTTAGAACATAAGGGAAACCTCATATCTAACCTATCCAAAGTACACATTGCTAAAGCATATATTGGTATAAAAATACCATCCAAAGTAAACAATGATAAAGTATACAATGATATGAAAATATCACCAAAGCATACATTGATATGAAAATCCTCATATCATCATTTAAAATATTAAAAGCAAACATTATTCTGCAATCATTCAGGTACCCAAAAGACGCAAGTATTCATTTAGCAGAACTATTGAAATGGAAGCCATTATGAAGCAGGTCAAACACCAGTTCAAACAAAAAGAGGAGCAAGAAGCATCATTAATCAGACAGCTTGAAGTAGTCAGACGTGAAAAAGAGCAACTACAACAAACAATACAAATTCTATCATCCCATTCAGCATCTAAAGAAGAAGCAGCCAGCAGCTCAACAACAAAACAACCAAAAGAAGAAATCCAAGAAATATCATCCGATGAAAGTCAACCACAAATAGCACTAGAAACAGAAAAACAAACCATGACACCAAACCAAGAGGAGTATCCACCGCTACAAGCAGATCATAAAAAAATAAAGAAACGGTACATAATTTTCAACGGAGAAAACAAAGGAGTATATGAAGATTGGGGAATCGCCAGTTCATATATTCTTGGAAAAAACATCATTCACAAAAGTTACAGAACGAAAAATGAAGCAGAAACCGCATACAACGAAGCATACAAAGCAGTAATAAAAGATAACGTTGAATGTTCAAAAACAGGTCTCCTAACACCACAAAAACCTATATCCAACTTTACACCACAAAAACCTGTATCCATCCCAAGATCCCTTAACCAGCTAAATGCAAAAATTGCCCTTGAATCCATTTTATCAACCAAAGAAAAAGAAGCCATGAAAAAATCATCTGCCAAAAAATTTGCCAAATTATGGGACAGTCTTATTTAATACACCGAAGTCCATTCCTTGATGGGCTTTTACCCAGTAGCTAGACGCCCAGGTCCTAAAGCCGTTTTCTTAGCCGACTTATCAGATCCTATGACTTTATGAGATTATTTTATTCATGGATTCATCGACACCATCTATCTAGAAGACACTAATTTACATTGCATCAGCGAGTTCCCTTCTGCTGTGCAAACTATCATCAGAAATTATAAAATACGATTCGTAAAACAAGAAAGAGGATTATTCATTAAAATGCATTCTAGCTATCCAATTTTTGATGAAGACTCTCAACTAATTGTCCCAAGTATTACTTTCGCAAACATGGGAATAATCAACGGCTCGAAACCAACAAAAGATGATCTACCACGAGAATCACCAACACAAGATCACTTAATCTTTGCACTCGTCGGGGTCTATTTAGCATCATTACGCATAGGCAACGGTAAAGATCAGAAGTCAAGAATCAGAGTGAACTACGCCAGTAAAACTTTCATTATCTATTCGTTAACAGACAGTAAATCACTTCAGAAGCAATGAAAGCAATTGAAACCTTCGAACAACCTTTCGAAAAGTTTTCTCATCGATTAGCTGAATTACCTGTTGATATCAAAAAAACAACTTTGTAAACATATTATGCATGCACCAAGACACAATTGCAGTCACTGTTCAGAAAACATAGAAGAAACACCATTCATGGAAGATTAACGATGAAAGAAAGCATTATTCAAAAATATGTCTTTTTGGAGGCGAGAGGAATGACGTAAGCAATCCATTTTTGAAGACATCTGTCCTTTCAATGTGGAAGGGATTATTATATTTTTCATTATGTAAAGTGTCGGTAGAAGGATTGTTATGTAATTCAATAAGAAGTGTCGGTAGGATAATTATTAAGTGTCGGTTGATGTAACATAAAGTGTGTAACCCTCAATAGTCTAGGGGGCTATAATGTAAATATGTGTGTCGTTTTGCAAGCAAACGATTACAAACCAATTATGTAACCGGCTCCTTCGAGCCTATAAATAGAGCCTTCGCCCATATGAAATAAACAAGTAAAGTTTGAGTGTTTAAGACTTGAGTTGATCTCAAAGTTCTTCTCTGTTGAAATAGTTTGTCTATTTCTGGATAGCAGAGATCTATCCAAACTATCCACATAAATATTCAATTATCCAACACAATCCATCATCAAGATAATCCAACGCATTATTCAGGTATAATCTTACTCTAATCTTCATTTATCCGCCATGTTGTTCAATTTGGTATTAAAGCAATTAATCCGTCATCATGTTATTTTAAATTTGTTCACTCACAACAACGTTTAATCATATTTTATTTCGAACCATCTCGATTCCTGACTTTTCAAAACATCAGACCTTCACCTTGGTCACATCCAAAGTCTTCATTCAATCCCTTTGATTGTTGACAACACATGTGACATATACCGTGACATCTCGTTAGACATGTTCATTACTATTTCGACTCCCCCCTCCTTTGAACAAGATCTTCTTAGCCACATTCAAAGCCACCATATTTGAACTCCAACACCATAATGTTTACACCGTGTAGTTTCTCCAATCTCTTCCTTTGTTTTGATCACCTTTGTTCAAAGAGACATCTCCATCGACCAAGAAAACAAAGCCATCCACTTCATTTTTTTTTCAATCCTAACAAACAAATTGAATCCAAAGCCACCTACTTTGGCATATCCTTCATGTCCGATTTTCACGAACATACGTCGATATCCCTTTATTATGAACAAACCGAGTAATAACTGTGAAATCCTGACAACAGTATCCCTGTTGAAAATGTCTTTGTTGGGTTAATTGGTTTTTGTCCATATGGGTTTAATAGGAAAGTTTTAATTTAATGAAAGTTACAATATTTAAGTTCTTTTCTTCTGCATAATTTAAGGATTTGATTAGGATACTTTTTGTTTGTGGTATATATAGATGTCAAGTTCCATTGTTGTTTATTCAATAAAAAAACGCAACAATTCCAGTGCTTCTTTTTTACTTTAACTTTGTGAGCAAAAAATTTGCTCCCTTTCTCCTTCTATTTCTTTTCCACCAAACACCACAATGAATTTTCTAGTTTATTTTATTTAGACTTGGTATCAGAGTTAAGGTTGAAAATGATTAGTTTGAGAGTTGGTTTCAAGAAAAGTGTATCTTTTCGGTGAAGGGCGGATGTAGCGAGAACCGAGTTTTGTTGAAGGGGATGTCATTTCGTTTTGATCAAAAGCAACCCCGATTTCTCTTGATCAGGTTTGTTATAAGGTAAAGATAGAGTAATCGGTGACGCGGAATAAACGGACATGAAAGACGTCAAAAGTGGTGGCTTTGATTTGGTTCGTTTTGCGGGTGACAAAAGATGGTAAAGGTGGTTGTGACATTGTCGTGTTGTTCGGTGGAAGAGTGCGATCGGAACAAGCTTGATTAAAGAGGCCGGGGTTATCAAAGGAGAATAGGATGTTGATGGTTAAAGAAGGAGGTTTGACGTTGTATCGTGTTCTGATTTTGACTCCAATGAATTATTTGGCGTGGGTAATCAAAGTCAAGGCGATTATAGGTGCATACTGATGGGTTTTGGTCATAAGACATCCTATGTGCTCATACAAACCCTAATGCTTGGATCTAGGTTTCTCTATTGTACATGCTTTGAATCCAAGACTATAAACCCTAATTCTAGCATACATATAATCATATTAACATGAGAATAAGTTTATAGTGTTACCTTGATTGTTATGTAGCAATAACAATCCCAAATCTCCTTGTATTGACTTTGGAAGGCTTAGAGTCACAAGTGTCACTCCTCTAATGGCTCACAAACACCATAAGCAAGTGGAGAAGGTATAAAGAGAGAAGTGAGAGGTTAGAATTCGTATCTAGGACCTCTTGGGAAGGGATACACGAATTCATGGCCCTAGGGGTGTTTATATAGGTGTAGAGATAGGGTTTCAGTCATTATCCTTATCTAGTTGATTATCCATTAAGCAACCAATAAGATAATCCTTGAATCCTTATCATACTCGAATTCTAAGGGATTTACACCTCAAATTCGTTCACCATATATATAAGATAATCCTTACCTTATTTTGTAACTATCACATAATTACAAATCAGCCCCTCTAGTTTAATTAATTACATTTGATCACAAAAACTAATTCTTAATTAATTATTGACCAATATTAATTAAACAAATATGATTTCTCCTTTAATATATTATTCTTATAACATATTAATAAATCATATTATCCTCTCTTCTTTATTCATTTCTCCAATCAAGTTGCTTTGGTGAAGGCAACCCAAAAGGACCATGCACCATCGGGTCAAGTACATACCAAAATAGTTATGGACTTAGACACTAATCCAACAGTCTCCCACTTGGATAAGTCTAACAACTATTCTGCGTATGACTTCAGATCCTGATCTGCAATCGTAGCTTTCCAAAGCCGCTGTCAACTCTGATCCTATCAGATACGCGTGTCCTTAGATAAGGGATCATATATTCCTCCATTCTAGATATCATCTGAGATATGATTTCTAATCATTCTCTTTGTACTACTTCTCGATTTCTGATTTATGACGACAGACTAATTGAACAAATCAAATTAGCCCTAGCCCGGCCGAGCATTTACGTATGTCATCACTAAACCATCGAGGGGCCCAAAGATATCGCTTTTATCCTACTTTGGATAAAAGGAACGGATAAACTTTGATACAATGTTCGCTTGCACTCACTAACCAAATCACACACAACAATATGTTTTATAACACCAAGTTACTAGTGCGTTTACATATTATCAATGTGCAACCGATTCGCAAGATACAACTCACACATCTCGGTTTCAAGAATATAAGATGTTATCGTCTCACCAATCACTCATAATACAATTCATGGAGTGATCCAAGTGAGCGTGGGTTTAATCCAATGCTCAAATCATATTCATAAGCACTCATGAACGTTGCAGCAAACATTTGCTTATGTCTAATACTCTTCTAGACAATCCACACACCAATTCACGACAGTCTTCATTCATATCTACTTCCAACATATGAACGACTGTGGCCCGTTTGAATAATTCGATTATTCTTAATAAACTCAATTATTCTGGAAGTCAAAACATGCAAGGTGAAACACAAGAATAATACTAATCCCATATGGCCTCAAACCTTTGAGTATAAACAAAACACGTTTTATTTATCACCATATCGATTACTCATTATTTGTCGTTTCGGGTAATCAACTTCGCATTTGAATTCCAACACTTGTCCCATGCTCCTAGCATGCACACAATGTTTACCTATGGTTCTTACTTTTGCGAAATAGACAAATTGAACACATTTCCAATCATTCTCATTTTACAACACCAAATCCATTTTCTTAAGTGTAAGAATGTCAAATTCTTGTTACTTATAGAATATACTAGATTCTAACACTTTATGCAACGATCCTTTTGTAATGTCACTGCACCAAAGTCTCAAAGACTATTGCCAATGATATTACAAATTCCTCTATCGGAGATTGTTACAAGACAATTCCTTAGATATGATGTCTCTCACTCAAAGTACATTCCTTTGAACATCCTTTCGCATAAAGTTTTAATCTAGACATAGATTTTACTTCCCAACATGGACACACTTCCATATTTTCTATATGACAACTCATTCTTAATAGAATCTTATCTATTCGTAATGATGTCGATATTGTCCATCCAATATGGAAACACTTCCATAATTTCCAATACTATACTTCCAACTACTCACAAGCGACCAATCCTCGTCGAACTTTGGATTGTCCTTTGATAGTTGTTTAATTATTTTAGTCAAAACCAATTCTAGTCCCTTTTCCCTCTAAATGCACTAGACATTTGGAAAATTTTAGAATGGTCAAACATTTGCAATCGATCCTATACCCGAAGCGTATGGGACACGACGCACAATGTTTTATTTGCTATGTTCTCAAAATTCGAATTGCGAAGAGGAATGCCGTAATCACAATCGAAA